CGTTTGCCAACATTAAGAGTTCCGAGTTTCTCATATTTTTATTACGTATGTTTGAGTTAGGTTTTATTTCATAGGAAGAGGTGCATTTTGATTTTTTTCAGATGGTCGTTTGTTTTTAAACGTTATGTATATAATATATATATCCAAGAAACAAAAGGCTGTTGTATTACATATATATATATATATACCAGTTAATTTCATTTTATCTTTTTTCTTTAAGTTTTTTTGTTTATGTTACACCAATTAGAATAGCATAAAATCTTAGTTAATAATCCATGTTTTAATAGTATAAAAGTTAAGTTCTTAATTTTACAAGGCAATATAAAAAAATCAGAATTTTCCCTAATGTGACACACGTGAAATTTTCTGTAGGCATCTTCTCTTCTCTACTTTATCCACCATCCCTCCAAAACGTATGAAATTATATACTCTTCAATTTTGCTTTGTTACAGAGTTATCGAATAGAAAATCAGACCCCTCCTGCCACACCAACCTCTCTTTCACAATTCGTTAATAGTTCTCTCTAACGTTTCATTATATATTTCCTTTTTGGCACAAACATGTGTCTGACTATGTATATGTCTCATCATTTTTATTGAAAGCTTGCATGATTTATTCTTAGGCTGAGTTTCTTCAAAAGACAATATAAAATACTCATACGACTAACTAGACGAGAGAAGCTTTCTAAATCAATAAAAATATATAGTTACTATAACTGAATATCTCATAGGTTACTTCGTAATCTCTAAATTTGATCTGAACTAAATTTTCCAGTAGTGAAGTACATATTATTAAATACTAAAGACTCCATAATTCTTATTTCGTAAATCGTTTTCTCAAGAGCAAGGGGATCTTACAGGAATGAAACTTATTCTTAAGGATTCGAGTGGTATGCATAATGTCAAAGATTCAAATTTTGAACAAAAAGAAACTATTTCTGAATGAAGATACAGTTGACGAGAGCATAAGTTGAATTATTTAATATTTGAATATAGATAATTTTTCATTTAAATTGATAAAAAAATTTACTGAAAAACGACCTTGATTACAGTGTGCTTTCCTGAGTTTTACAACATCCTTTATCCAATTCGAAAACTGGTGGATGTCATATGGCATCAAATATTCTCAACTCCAGGAAGATCCTTAGTCGAAGGAATTACGAAAGTCATAGAAGAGAGACGAAAAAATCGAGCGGTAAGAACTTTTCTGTCTTTCATCATATCGATAATAACCGTTACTTTAACTCAGTTTACGGAAAAAGACAATTCCAAATTATCCCGCAAAATATCCATAAAGAATTCTAGCTAAAGTGGTATTTGAAGTAATTTCATCTAAAGGACAGTGTTGCTCATCAGTGTCAGAAATCATTATTCACTGTATGTTATAAAACTGGACTTTTATTAAGTAAATCTGAGAACTAATATAATAATTTTTAACCTGAACAACGCCTTACGTTCGTGTAGGTTAAATGGCAAGTTAAGAGATCTCTAAGGTTTAGATATAGCTATCTATTATTATTCAGTTTTATAGAGGGCTCACATTTGAAAATGTGAACGTTATTATCACTATCAAATCTCTAATGTTGAGTGTTTCGATCTGCTGCCTGGCACGCTAACAACAAGGTTTGAGTGTGATTTAATCTAATGTAATCCAGAGAATATGAGATATAAAACAGCTCTGAAAACTGGATGTATAACAAAAGTATTCCATAAAATACTAATGTTTTATATTAAATATTTTTATTTAATTAATTGATAAATGTAAAACAGTATATATAAAAAATATATTCGATAAAACATTATTGTTTGATATTTAAGTATTTTTATTTAATTAATTCATAAATGTAAAACAGGCTATATAAAAATATATACTATTGTTTAATATTTAAGTATTTTTATTGAATTAATTGATAAATGTAAATTATTATTGTAATAAAAGTGAAGTAGAATATCTTGACATATTAATTTGGAAGTTTTTTTATTCTTTACGACATTTACAGGAATATAACTTAGATAAACACCGATTTTATTTTTATATTCAAAAGTCAGTTATACTCCTTTGAATAACCTTGGAATTCTACTGTAAAATTGTTTTACTGGTAAATCATCATGCTATGCACGTGTATAATTTGGGTCTCTTCTCCTATTTTTTAGCTTCGAAGAGTTGATCTTCTTCAGATGATGTTGGATGCTCGAATTGCTAAAGAAGACATTCAAAACGTGACTGCAAAACAGCTGACCGCTGGTGAAGACGAACCAACTGAAGATGTTTCTAAAGTCAAAGAAGGTAAACATAAGCCTAACGTGTTTCAAGGATTAAAAACAAACTACATTGTTAAATTATCTACAATAACGACCAAGTTACGAGTTTATGTCAAATTATTTTCATGTATCAACTACATATAATGTTATAGGCTAGTAACATAGGTTCTTCATGTATCAACTACATATAATGTTATAGGCTAGTAACATAGGTTCTTCATGTATCAACTACATATAATTTTATAGGCTAGTAACATAGGTTCTTCGAATTCTTATACGGATACATAAAGTTATCTATGTATTTCAGGTCATTGGTTGAATATCTACATGAGTTTAATGTAGGGTAAAATAATGTTATAGGCTAGTAACATAGGTTCTTCGAATTCTTATACGGATACATAAAGTTATCTATGTATTTCAGGTCATTGGTTGAATATCTACATGAGTTTAATGTTGGGTAAAATATTTAATTCTCTAGAGTTCCAGTCCAGAACCTGGTACATTTGGTGCAGGTCATATGCTTATTCGACCCTGGTTGTCTCAGGAATTGTTTAAGGATGATATCTACTGTTTCGTGGGGTTATTTGTATTCTATCCAACATCACCTGAGTGTGGGATTATTTTAGGATCGTAATGGAGCTGTGACGCTTCATGATCCTTTGATCAATTCTGTAATTGGTTGGCCGTAGATAAACTGAGATAGTAGCTTTGGCGATTTTAAAGTTATCAGTTTCAACTCTGGATGGGTCAGATTTGCAGATGAATTTTTATCAACTTTTTTTTTCAATAAGAATTATTGTTTCTTCTGTATATTGGGGATGTGTAGATTTCAAACTTTAACATCTCACAGACAGGCAGTATTTTAGTGTTCTTTTTTATTTGTCTTCTTTTAATCGTGTCTTGTCTCTTTCATTCAACCAGCGACAAATCACTGCACATATCGTTCTTTCTACCAGCTGAATTCTTGATTCTCTTGTTGATGCGGTGATTATGTGCTTTGTCCCTTGACTTGTAGGTTTGAAGTAACACAGTACATGGAAATATCCAAAACAATGTCCAGGAACATAGTACAGAGGAAATAGTCATTAATAAAGAAATTGGGAAACGCTTGCCGAATTATTGTACATTGTTTTCATGTTACCATACAGCTAATAAACGTACCATTGTGGAATATTGTTCAACGTATCTTCCACCCGTACAATTCAGCCAAGTCATTTTTTTTACCTTCTCAGTTTTAACATTAGCTCCTACAGCCTCAATAATGTTGATATCTGGACTTTGTTCCAGCCAAGTCATGGTTAGGAGTGTTCCGTCGGTCTGTTTAGCGTCAAGATGTTGTTTCATCGTTGCTTTGTAAGAAAATGAATCCCTGCCCCAGGAGTCGTACTACTGAAAGAATTCTGTATTGGAAAAGAATGTGCCTGTGCTCAGGGTTTCATCAGCTTTGTGTAGAGCACCAACAATGTTGGTTGGGTTGCAGCGTCAACCTTGTACTGATCCTCAACCATGCTTCATTTTAGATATAGCAAGTTGATTCTGATACCCTTCTGCTCTCCGCCTTCCAACAAACTCTTGTTCATATTTGCTAAACAATTCAGTGTATTTTATTGTTCTCAAGGTAATATTCACCTGTATTTACACCAAGTTCACTGACCAGATCTGTAAATAAACATACAGAAATAGATGGTTAAGTCTACATTTCTTTATGTTTTGTACCTTTTTTTTGCATTTATTTCATCAGGAAATATCGAAGGACGGGAAGAAGCAGATCAAGTTTATCACAGATTGGGAAATTAGAGCAAATTCTATAACTTTCTTACTGGCCGGGTAAGTCTAGTGTCTACCTATTATAGTAAGTACAATATCTATGTAAAATGACCGTACTTAAACTGTGTCATTCGGGTATGGTTAATACTATTATAGGAAAAGCAATTGAAATAATCTCTTGTGCCACTATATGTGAACAATATCACTTACATTCTGCCAAACTGGCACGATGAAGTTCACAGATCAACTGAGAAACTAAATAGTAATTAATTGGAACTTTATTGTGGAGTGATTTCTGTTACTCGTGAGTGCAGTACTTACTTCCTTGTACTCTCTTATGATTGGTCCTTGGGAAGTGAAACTAGTTTTTCGTTTTTGTTTTTGTAGTTTTTGTCTACATGTATGGGAGGATGAGGAAATGTACTGATATTTAAGTTTTTTAACAAAATTGTCCACTTGTATCTAGTTCTTTAAGGTTATTATTCTACATTGACCGCATCCCATATCCACACGATCCTTTTGTTTGATTAATAACTGTATTGAATTAAACTCATTTAATATCGTTTACCAGTCGTATATTGGTATTTTTGCTGTTGTACAGAACGTACACAAACTGTATTTATTTGTTTCGAGAATATTTTGTATTAAACTAAAATTGTTATATGTAATCTTTTATTAAAACATATAATGATAATTATAATGGTTTTGCGCAATTATTATTTTTGGAATATTCGAAATTTTGATGTTGCATTTTTACTTATTACACAACAATCATAGATCCAAAGATAGAATCTCAATTTTGTTTATTTGAACAGTTATGAAACAACAAGTACAGCCCTCGGTTTCACAACCCATATACTGGTGAACCGACAAGATGTCCAAGAAAGGATTCGAGAAGAAATAAACGATGTCTTGGGAGAAGATGTAAGAGTTGTGTTTTATTTATATCTATAAAGTAAGTTAGAATACTGGAACTACAAACTTCAATATTTTAGGTTTTGAAACTTTCTGAGGGCCTTCATTGGATTATTACTCTCAGGTACTTGAGAAATTATATAATCAAATTATTGTAAATATATTTGAATAAGATTTCCAAGCCAGGCATTAATTTATTTATTTCTATCTTAATACTGTTTTTAGGGTGTCTTAGATTACAACACAGTAAACGAGCTTCGATATTTAGACCAAGTTTTTTCGGAATCTCTGCGACTGTACCCGCCAGTTATCACGTGAGTTTCTTCTTTATTCAATTCAAAATGGCGCCTTTTACCAAAGCCAACATCTTTGTTAGAAATGACACAAATTACGCACTGCCAAACAGTTGAAAATGTGTTTATAAATAATCTAAATTAGTTTTGTACCGAAACTAGTACACTCATTTTAATTCATGTTAATCACTTACTACAAAAAATTCTTGTCTTTTATGACTCAAGTAAATACTTTACTACAAATAAGGCTATTTCAGATACAATTTAAGAAAATTTTGTCACATTTGATTTTTGTGAAATTAACATTTTCTCTTAGCTGAGGTAAAAATTATAGACAAAATATTTTACCAGTTTGTAAAAACTTCACAACTGAAATAAAGATGTCAGAATTATTTATCGATATCTTTACCAGTAAAGACATGTCAGTTAAGAGGATTTCCTCGATTCAGTTAGGAACAGATGCTATTCTATAGGATTCTGGTAATGATCTTCCACTACCTCCTCATGATGCTATACGAGTAATCAGACAAAGAATACATATCTTATTTCAGGTTCGTCAACAGAGTTGCTGACGAGGATTACCAGCTGGGTGATTTTAAAATCCCCAAGGACACTACCATACAGGTCCCTGTTTGGCAACTCCATCACGATCCAGAGATCTGGTCTGAGCCATACGAGTTTAAGCCTGAGAGGTAAACACTAAATTGCTAATACATGCCAATAATGTTTTGGTTATTTTCACAGTTTTATTCGCATTTTTCTTCGGAAATGTTTACTTTTAGTTGGAAAGAGAACTATGAACATATATATTTTTAAACGTAATTGTTATAATGTCATGATTTCCAGGTTTCTCCCTGAAAATATGAAGGATATACACCCCATGGCTTATCAACCATTTGGATCTGGACCACGAAACTGTATTGGCATGAGAATGGGGCAGTTGGAGGCCAAACTAGCTTTGGCTAAAATCTTACGCGCTTACAGAGTAGTTCCTTCTGAGAAGACGGAAATTGTACGTTGCACGTTTTAAAGTTTCCTGGAAAGAAAACAGTTATTCACAAACAGAATATATATATATCGATATTGTAATTTTCTTACGAATAATGTAAAGAGTAAATTAAGATAAAATCACAAGTTAAATATTAAGATAAGTAAACAAGCTATATTTCAATTCAGATTTAAACTACATTTAACGTATAGCACAGATTTTAATATTTTTTAGTTGTTGAAGTTTTTTCTTGTCTTTCAGGGAGAAATCCAATATAACGTAAAGTTCTTGACCATTGGTCCAGTACATGGCATTCACGTGAAAGTAGTTCCCGTCTAGTGGTGGCCTCTTGTGGAATGAAATATTCAAATATATATAATAAATCTTTAATTACTTACTTGAATGTATCAGTTGAGATTAAGTACATTGATATTATTAACTCTATTCTTGTGGATTCTAGTTCTGAATGAAAGTGTGGTTGCTAGTTTATGTACTGTTAAACAGGGGTGTAATTATACAACTAAAATAAACTGGAAGATGTTGGCGAACTGTTTTTGTTATCCCTTAATGTTGGTGGATTTGTAATACACTGTAAATATACTTTGTTTTTTTTCAAAGTTTGTAGTGCATACTGGAGGGATTTACACATTGTGAAAAAGTGTAAATAAACGACCTTTACACTCGACATGTAAATATATTATTTTTTATTACTACCAACCTTTCGCTTTTACAGCTTTTTCAGGGTTAATACGTATAAACTGTTTGATATTGAATTATACTTTAACTGATTGTGATGTTCCAACTCTCGAGTCTGCGGGACGTGTCTCGAACAATGTATAAAATATCATTGTTGTTTCATTATCGTTCTAATATAGTATACTTATATTACGTAGCTATACTAACATATGACATATATTACTAAAATAAAATATAAAAATAAAGAGAACCGAAATATGTTTTATGATTAAGTGAAAACACAGAGAGAAAACAGAAGCTGCCAAGAAACAATAGTAAGTGGAAAAGATTTGAAATTTACCAACAATGTTAAAAACTAATTGTAAGACTGTATGGTACTCCAGAGTTAGGAAGTCTTAAACTGGAAGTAATAAGTGTGAAACGTATTGATACAATTTGTTGTTCTGTGAATGGTCTTATGGTTATATGCACCATCCATTGTTTCTGGTCATTTTTGGATTTTTCTCGTTAATGTATATAGCTTCAATATATTTTATCTCTTTAAAATCTTTGTTTTTTTTTGTAAAATACAAACTTTAAATTCGTTCTGTGTTTGACATTGAGATTTCGTTTTTGTACTTAAGGTTTCAGAACTAAAACCCCGCAAGTTTCACCGTTCTGACACTAGTAAAATTTACACGGTAACTATAAATCCAGGAAAACTTTGCTTCTTGTTGGATCCCTCTTTCTCATTAAAGTTACTATATAGTCATTTATATTTAAAAACTAATTACGTTAAATTGTTGTTGTTTTATTTTCAGTTATATCATCTAATTGATTTTTTAAAACAAAACATTTTCTATCTACTTGTCTGTAAAATCACCTACCTGAGCCACGTTACCACCAATAACACTAGAACAGTACCGACTAACAACAGCATGTTTACTGATTATTGTTTGGTGTAACTTCCTTGCTATATTTTTGTAATGTATGATAACGACGCCTGGCATTAGGAAGTGTTTGATAATTTTTACTCTGACAGTTTCGTTTGCCTTTCATCACTAATATACATATATATATGGATGTGAATGTATTCCAAGAACCACTAGGTTCATCCAGTCTCAGGCAATATATCTTAGCCATTTGAGGGGGTTTTCTGACATACCTTTCCACCTACATTGGTCAAAATAAGCAGTTCAATGTTTTGGCATTTGGTTTCCATATGGGTGTATAAAAAACTGGCATTTTTGTCTGACCCTTGTTGATGGTGCACATTTGGACTACAGGCAGTCCGCACACTCCTTATCCCTCTGTGTTGCAATTATCTGTCAGCATATCCTGCATCTCTTGTGGTAGCTGGGAACCATATATCCCTCATCTGATAATGTTGTGCATCTTTTAGATCACACAATCTATTACTTTGTGTGAAACTACAAATAAGAATTACTTGCCCATTTGACACTTCAACTTCCCAGTTCCTCTGGAAATTTTGGAATCTCCTCCATTTCTCTTCAGTGCATTGCATTGCAATAATTCCTCATGTAGAGATGTTTGCACTCAAGACATCCATGTATTTTCTTGGCCTTCAATGTTTGGGATTTAGCATCAAGTTCTTTGGTCTGTCTCATTCTCTGTCCACCCAGTGTATTTTGATTCCCTTCTTTGTTATACGACAGTTACCAAGACACTCAATTCCCTTGGCCAGTCTGATCTAGAAATTGACATCAGTAGTTATTCTGTCTAAACACTATATCAAGTGCTTTCTCACCTTCCACTATCATGGGTTGTTCAATTAACTTCACATCTTTCTTGGTCTAAGTTGTAGCACAGCATCACATCTGTTTCTTTTGACTGCTACTTCAGGGACCTGTATTGGAGAATTGTTCCGAATATTCTACCAATATGTGAGCTCCAATTTCTTTGAGAGATGAGAGAGACAGAGGATTGTCCTGTTTGTCACAGTTCTTTAGAATCCATGCTTCAGTTGTCTGTTCTGTTCCTTATTTCTGTCTCTGCTTCGAAGTGGCTATCTCACGTCTTTCATTTACCTTGAATCAACCCTTACACAGTGACATATTATGTTTCCATACCTGTTGAGTATTCCTTGTCCTTCTCTTTTCTCTATTGTGTATATCTCTTATTAAATATGTTCTGTGGTTAACTTGAAATTGCTACTTATTTGTGCATTCCACTGACTCTATATTCAATGTACAGTGTCAGGTTCAGTGCCATCTTTCTTTCCAGACCAATGCTGATTATCACCATCTTTTATCTTCACAGTTCACTAACCTATGAAGCCTCGTTATTATCCCTTGTTTAAAATATTACAGGGTTCTGGTCATCTTTTGTTGTAATAGTTGGTATCTAATTTTATTTACAGTTGTAATTTTCTCGTTCCTTTATTGTCCCGTATATATGTTTCACAGATTCAATTGCTTATCATACTGTACAATTCAAATGTCAAGCTATTTATTTTCTACCCATGGCTATGGGAACTGTTCATATTATATCATTGTGTTCTTGATTTGGTGTAATGTTTTTAATACTCTAAAGTTGTTTTCGTATCTTTGTTCTCATTTGCTTCTACTTGTATTTGTTTCTATAATGTTGATTGTTCTGAAATTGTATTTCTTTGTATTTGTATACCCTTATTAATAAGATTTCAAAATTGGTACCATACTCCATCGTCGAGGATCCGTATGATGTCCTCCCTATTAATTGTCGACGACATGGGTCAGTGCTCTGTTGGATTGTTTGCACACACAGTGAGTTTGGGTGGAGGTGGATAGTGTGGGTTCAGTTAATGACCTCTTAACGTTAGTCCATCGCTCCAGGGTGCTTGTACTGTACAGGTGTAACTGTTCCATTTTCATTGGCCTCCCCATTAATCTAAAAATAAAATTGGAACATCCAATTTAATCATTAGAAGTATTTGTTACAGGTACAAAAACATTAAATTATGTTTGGTTACAAATACGAATTTATATATCTGTCAATAGATGGCGCGTCCTTCGTAAATACATTATACTATCTTCTGCAAATTAAAGTGCAATAATCGAATTTATTTTTTCAAACCATTATTATTGTGAGAATCTCTTCCATGATTGCATAAGATGTTCCACAAGTTGAAAATAAAATCTCTGTGAATGCTCAGTTCAAACTAATGTGTCATTTTAGTTATTAATTAAAGTGCAATATTAAATCAAGTTTTATTCATTACATATATTTGAATGTAGGCAATATATTGCTTTTTAATAGGTGCAACTGTAATGGAATTATAAAACATACACCACCATAGAAAAGAGGGACAAGTTTATGAAAATTAAGAATGTTTGATAGTTATAGAATATCCCAGATAAACATATTCTCAGATAATGGGATACTTTGGATAAAAGGCTCAAGAACGGAAATTGTGTGTGGAGAAAATTGTTCTAATGGTTAACATATAAACAGATTTATAAAGAATATGGCTACTATATTTCTGTCTTCAGGTGTTGATAATGAGATATTTTCACTAGGTGCTTCTTAATATAAATATTCCTCTAAAGTTAAATTGTAGCTCTGTTTGTTTGTTTATGAATTTCGCACAAAGCTACACGAGAGCTATCTGTGCTAGCCATCCCTAATTTAGCAGCATAAGACTAGAGGGAAGGCAGCTAGTCATCATCACCCACCGCCAACTCTTGGGATAATCTTTTACCAACGAATAATGGGATTGACCTTCACATTATAATGCCACCATGGCTGAAAGGGCGGGCATGTTTGGTTGGATGGGGATTCGAACCCGCAACATTCAGATTGCGAGTCGAGCACCCTAACCACCTGGCCATGCTGTAATATTGTGGAATATTGAGACAAAATTACGTGTATGGCTAGTGCAAACAAACATTGAATAGATTTGTGCAAAATTCAAGAAACAAACTAAGAAATTGTAAATGTAGATAGATAATATTTTGGGATTTTAAATTTGTTACAGATAGTTGCCAATATAACTGAACTATTTTAAATGATACGTATAGCTGCAAAGTAATGTTTCATTCTTTAAGATTTACTGCATTAAATATTTGTTTGAAGTGCTTTCTTAAATTTTGATAACACACTTGAAATGTGTTTAAACTTAAAACTAATGTAGACAATTTATAAGATTCTCCATAAATAAAATAAAGAAAGAAACTTTTCATTAAAACTGATGATGTATGTTCAGACCAATTCCAAATTCTGTATTTAGTACAGTAAGGCAATACTTCGTTTTGAAGTAGTAGGAGTTTTTTCCTGTGGATAAATTTTAAATGTTTTGCCAACAGAAACATAAATAATAGGCCAAGTGTTATTTTGGATGATATGCTATTTCCATCATCTCAACAGAAATAATTTTATGATCTTCGCAAGGCTTAGCAACATTCATTTGTTTGATTTGTTGAAAGGCACATCTCACCAGAGTGATATCTACGTTGCGTCCACAGTCGGGATCTAATCATTAAGGTTCTTAAAAAAAAAGGAAGCACTCTTCTTCAAACAATGGCGATTTTCTTAAACATTTTTATCGACGGGGGTTTCTTTAAATAGCCCGAAATTTAAATTTCTTTAAATATAATTAAGAATATAGTTGTATAAATGTTGGAGGTATCCTACACTTTACAAAATTTAACATTCAAAACAGCCAAATTGGGATAGAAAAACGCATCATTTAGAAACAACAAATTACTAAAGAATATAGTTGCTTACGTGAATCTTTTAAAAAACAATAAATTTAACTGCTTAATTAACTTTAAGAAATTTAAATACAAAAAAAAAACCGAAAACAAAATATCTCTCATCATTGTTAGTTACTGTAACAATTAATATCAGCAGTATATTCTTCAAACGTAGGTAGGAACTGAGTTTTGCCAATATTTAGGCTGACAGGATTCCTTCATCAATTAACATTTCTATGTAATAAGGAAAGAATGAATACTTAAAAGAACTCTTACTGAAACGATTTGGTTTACAAATCATCACAGTATCCTATGTATGGTGTTTGTAATTATACTTTCATACTAGTATTTCAAAAATATGCATTTCTAAGGCTGCTAATTCATTCTGGTATGTTATTCAGCTTTATAAAATTCTAAAAATATGTGTAAAACCAATCTGTTATTCACTTTACAACTAAATACCGCGATATTTTTGTCTCACAAAATTGTGACACTATTCAGTAACTCTGGACATATAGAAATTTACAAGCGGTAGCAGTTATCATGGGGATAATTTTGGTATAAAATTTCCCATAATTTAATGGATATTAAATTTAAAGTAAACAACCAGGAATGCCCAGAAAAATATTATTTCTTCATTTCACCAGTGGTTGAAGAGTATTATTACTTGTTACAGGTGTTTCTGCTACATATATCTAAAACTTGCTACACTTGGGATGGTGATAGTTGTCAGTGAAGATGTAAAAATATAACAGCTGGAAGAAGAGGAAGAGGAGAGTGCTGTTGATGCGGAGTTGTCTTGTCTTCCTGTCCTGAAGGTCAAGTGGTATAGTCCGGTTTAGTTGGAGACACTGTGACTGAAGCATCCAGCTGCAACAAACATTACCATCTCCATATTCATGAGTTTACTAACCTGTATCGCTATTAGTAATTTTATACGTATCTGACTGACATTATTACAACTCTGGTTTAAGTTTGATTTAAAATGAAGTTAGTAGTGTTGATTCCGTTTGTCAAGCTAATAAACTTTTGATTTCATATAGGATGTCACTTTTCAGAAAGACAAGGATCAAGTAGAAAGTTAAAAAGATCATCATTTTGAGTCATTTCATTACAGCACGAGGGGAAGATAGGCGGGCCGTTAGAGGGCTAAGCCCTCTCGTGGCCGAGCGAAGAAAACAAGAAAAAAAAGTAGTAATAACAAAAAGACGGAAGAAATGGGTAAAAGTGTGAGGGAATGTATAGAGGAGAAGGACGAAATGGGAAGTAGAGTGAGAACGAGAGAAATGAAGTGTAACAGGCAGTGAAAACAAACGTAAATGATGAGACGAACACTATAAAGTCGAAACATGGTGACGAATCACTCTGGAAAGTTCAAACTGTTAAGTCCATGGTCACTGGATAGATGAAAGGTGGTAAATGAGACATCGGAACTTCAACATGATTGGGATCATCTAGCGAAAGTGGCATAACATGCTACAGTACTTTGTGTTTAAAAGTGTTCATTATATAATTTTTATAAAGAAAAATACTAATACACCCACTAATAAGTCTCAGTGTATCTTTTATGTGATAGGCATAACGTCTTATATAAATGAGTGTGTGTGTATTTTCTTTACTGTTGTGTCCACCGAGGGGAATCGAACCGCTGATTCTAGCGTTGTAAATCGAAAGACTTATCGCTGTCCCACCGGGGGATGCTTTTAAGAACTATTGAACTTAAATTTATATATTATTAGTGTTCTCAACAATGAGGGTGGCCATCTACAATTTACACCATCTTTACCTTTAACCGAGTAAGTAAATTTTTCGTGATTTTCGTAAAACAGAAAAATGTTCGCCACAAAAATAAATAAAACGCGGTTCTTTCAATAAAACAAATGGGAAAAATTCTGCACGTGAATTGGCAATTCTGAGCAAGACACTGCTATTTTCTGGAGAGTATTTACATAAGTATGTAATTCGTCGCAATGTTAATCAATCTGCAACATCCATAGAAAGATAGTGTGAAGAAACCAACCTATTCTCTGAATACCTTTCTGAAACTTTTAAAATCTACCTACGTTTTATACATAGCAGTACAAAAGAGTAAATAATCGCATTATAAACAATGCTGACTTTATCAAACCTATATTTACAGTGTATTAGAAATTTAACAACATCAAGAACAATTCTTAAGATCCTGCCCCCCAGTAGCACAGCGGTATGTCTGCGGACTTACAACGCTAGAATCCGGGTTTCGATACCCGTGGTGGGCAGAGCACAGATAGCCCAATGTGTAGCTTTGTGCTTAACTTCAAACAAACAAACTTAAGATCCTACTATAGCAAAAATCCTTCTATCTATTAAATCCTTCTAATAGACAAACTATTTCATAAGTAAATTGAATAGAAGGTTCTATTCTATTCAAATAGTTTGCAAATTCTATTAATGCCTCAATTACTGAAGTTCTATTTTGGAACAACGTATTTTCAAACACTTAATTGCATCTTCAACTGGAACTTTTGTAAATAATAATATTACATCAAATGATGCTAACAAATCATCCTTATATTACATCAAATGATGCTAACAAATCATCCTTATATTACATCAAATGATGCTAACAAATCATCCTTATATTACATCAAATGATGCTAACAAATCATCCTTATATTACATCAAATGATGCTAACAAATCATCCTTATATTACATCAAATGATGCTAACAAATCATCCTTATATTACATCAAATGATGCTAACAAATCATCCTTATATTATATCAAATGATTCTAACAAATCATCCTTATTCAATTTTATATCCTTGATTTTTTCTACAAATTCTACACAATTTTTGACTGTATATTTATTTTTATTTCTCAAACTAGAATATTTCCTAGCTATATATTTAGCTATTTCATATGACATTGTAACTGTAGCCGATATAATTGGTCTAATACTGTCATTCATTTTGTGTATTTTTGGAAGTGCATAAAATCTCGGAGTAATAAAATTAATAGGAATGAATCTACGCTTCTCTGCATCTGTTAAAGTTTACTGTCTGTTTTCCACAGAACCAAACAAGCACGTGGTAACAATCTGTTTAAAATCATTGGAACTGCCAAAAAAACCACCCAAGGAAACATACTGCAGTAACTTCAACTGATCACAAACAATGGTCTTAAGATCCTTCAGTTTACTTTAGTTCTATAATTACACTTCTGTTTAACAGTACAGAAACTAACAACCACACTTTCAGTCAGAATAGAGTTGATAATATAAATGTGTTTAATCTCAACTGATACATTTACGTAAGTAATTCAAGATTTCTTATATATTTGAATATTTCATTCCACTAGAGGCCACCACTAGACAGGAACTACTTTCACGTGAATGCCATGTACTGGACCAATGGTTAAGAACTTGACGTTATATTGGATTTCTCCCTGAAAGACAAGAAAAATGACAAGGGAAGAAATAAAAATCTCTGCTACATAGTTTAAATATGATTTGAAATAATATTTTTTTTACTTATTTTAATATTTATCTTGTGATTTATCTTAATTTACTTATTTCATCAATTGTAAGAAAAGTACAATTTCGAGGTAACTAGGTTTGTAAATATTGTAAAACGTGCAACGTACGATTTCCGTCTTCTCAGAAGGAACTAGTTTGTAAGAGCGTAAGATTCTGGCCAAAGCTAGTTTGGCCTCCAACTGCGCCATTCTCATGCCAATACAGTTTCGTGGTCCAGATCCAAATGGTTGGTAGGCCATGGGGTGGATATCCTTCTTATTTTCGGGGAGAAATCTGAAAAACCATGACGTTATAACAATTAAGCTTGAACGTATATTTTCACAATTCTCACTGCAACTTAAAATAAATAATTTCGATGAAAAGTGTGAATTAAGTTAACGTGAAAATGACCAAAAGTTTTTAACACGAATTACCAATCTAGTGTTTACCTCTCAGGCTTAAACTCGTATGGCTCAGACCAGATCTCTGGATCGTGATGGAGTTGCCAAACAGGGACCTGTATAGCAGTGTCCTTGGGAATTTTAAAATCACCAAGCTGGCAATCCTCGTCAGCAACTCTGTTAATGAACCTGAAAGAAGATAGGTATACTTTGTGTCATCACTATTTTAGATTATTTATACAAAGAGCTTAGCAGTGAGTGATGTGTATGATTTATACGACAAAATGCTGTTTTTAGTAAAAGGCGCCACTTTCAATCAAACGAAGAACATACTCACGTGATAACTGGCGGGTACACTCGCAGAGATTCCGAGAAAACTTGGTCTAAATAACGAAGTTCGTTTACTGTGTTGTAATCTAGGACACCCTTAAATAAAAAATATTAAGATAGAAATCAAGTAATTAATGCCTTGTTTGGAATTCATATGAAAAATATATTTACAATAATTTGAGCATAAGCGAAAGCCTTTTATCGTACAGGTACGTGGATTTTGTAGTCAATAATATTTCTCAAACATAATAAGAAAACTTCTAAAATGGAATTTGTCGAAGTGTGTAGTTCCAGTGTTCTAACTTACTTTATAGATATAAATAAAACACAAATCTTACATCTTGCCCTAAGACATCGTTTATTTCTTCTCGAATCCTTTCCTGGACATCTTGTCGGTTTACCAGTATATGGGTTGTGAAACCGAGGGCTGTACTTGTTGTTTCATAACTGTTCAAATAAACAAAACTTAAAGTGTTTTTTTTCTAGCTTTGATATGCTTATGTTTGTATGCTTTACGAAAATGTTATATGTATCTATATATATATATGGCCTGGCATGGCCAGGTGGTTACGGCACAGACTCGCAATCTGAGGGTCGCGGGTTCGAATCCCCGTCACACCAAACATGCTCGCCCTTTCAGCCGTGGTGACGTTATAATGTGACAGTCAATCCCACTATTCGTTGGTAAAAGAGTAGCCCAAGAGTTGGCGGTGGGTGGTGGCCTTCCCTCTAGTCTTACACTGCTAAATTAGGGACGGCTAATGCAGATAGCTTTGCGCGAAATTCAAAAACAAACAAACAAACATCTATATATATATAAAAATTTAGTGTAATACAAAAATATCATCGAAACATATAAATACAGTTTCCATCTACGCTCTCTACAATTGTAAAAGTACCAATACCTAACAGATAATCACTGGTAAATTAATTCACTGATCCAGATGTCGTACACTTATAAGTTATTAACCAAACAAAGGATTGTGTGAAGATGGAGTTCTTGACTTTAAAATAATAGGTTTAATAGAACAGGATCAAATCAACATTTGGTAGAAACTTAAATATATGTTCACTCTTTCATCCAAAAACACACACAGCAAAAAAGAAAGATGATATATCACATCAAAAACAACAAACTCACTCACAAATAACAACATCACTTTACAATACAGTTCCCATTACGATATTTCCCCAATTGATCTGTAAGCTTTATCGCAATTTTACACTATGAATTTCTTTGTTAATTAAGTCAAACAATATATCACTGTGGTACTTCATCATTAGACAAATAATTTCCAAATTATGACCATGACTTTTGGCGCTAATTTGAAATCCATAAGAAAAGTTTCATTGCAAAAATATTTCAAAGATATTGTTCGATTGTTCGCATACGACAGCATTTCATTTCTTTCTTCCAAAATAGAATAACCATACATATATAGCGCAGGGTAAGTTTTTACATGAAATATTGTACTTACTATAACAGGTGGACACCAGACTTACCCGGCAAGTAAGAAAAGGATAGAATTTGCTTTAATTTCCGTATCTGTGACAAACTTCATCTGCTTCTTGCCGTCTTTGGAAAGAAAGAAAAAAAGTTTTAGCTTATCCAAATGAATAATTGAATATTTGTTTCTATATCTGTGTCTACAAATCATGCCAACGACTTTAATGTAAATACCGGTAAATCTTACCTAAAGAAGTGAGATACGCATTATCACGGATTTGAATCTGTTTAAAAAACCGTTGCCGAGATGAGGTAAGTAAAAAGAAAGATGAACCAAACACTGGACCACAATCAGTGAGAAAAGCTGGAGACACGTGCTCTTTACAAAGCTCGAATTGTTTGACAAGAGGTACTATAGTCAGTTTACAACACTTACGATGAAGGATGGTTGAGGATCAGTACAATTTTGGGGCTTCAGCTCATCCATGGGTATAGATGAACTAGAGGCACCAATGACTGGTGAAAAAATTTACATTCTTTTCCATCAACAATTTCCCCACGAACACGATTCGTCTTGGTGAGGATTCATTTTTTTAAGCAAGACAATCGTGCGTTGATAAGCCGTATGTTAACATGAAAACCAGTGATGAGTGGAAGCAAAGAAGATTGTATAAGCATATGCCAACTACACTATATATGCCAAGGTTCAGCTAGCCGACAGACACAGTAGTGATTGAGACACTATTTATATTATCAAATTTCCCCAAGAGCAACTGCCATGATGTAAACTAAATTAAATAGGTGGAGTGTATGCTTATCACATTAGTGCTTATTAAACTAAATTAAATAGGTGGAGTGTATGCTTATCACATTAGTGCTTATTAAACTAAATTAAATAGGTGGAGTGTATGCTTATCACATTAGTGCTTATTAAACTAAATTAAATAGGTGGAGTGTATGCTTATCACATTAGTGCTTATTACAACATATTTCATTTAATTTTGTGTTTTCTATGATAGTGTTTTTTACTAGTAATAATTTTGCCACTACTCACTTATGTGACTCCTGGATGTGTAACTGTTGTGTGTTACCATAATTATGTAACATGTAACAGACAAGGCACTCAGTCAAAAGAATACAAATAAAAAAAGACACTGCAATTAAATATTACACTAAAAATACTGTCTGTCTGTGAGATGTTAAAGTTTGAAATCTACACATGCCCAATATACAGAAGGAACAATAATTCTACTTGAAAAAAAAAGTTGATAAAAATTCATCAGCAAATACTGACCCATCCAGAGTTGAAACTGATAACTTTAAAATCGCCAAAACTACTATCTCAGTTTATCTACGGCCAACCTATTACAGAACTGATCAAAGGATCATGAAGCGTCACAGCTCCATGACGATCCTAAAATAATCCCACACTCTGGTGATGTTAGATAGAATACAAATAACCCCACGAAACAATAGATATCATCCTTAAACAATTCCTGAGACAACCAGGATCGAAAAAATAATTTTTATATAAACTCGTAACTTGGCCGTTATTGTAGATAATTTAACAGTGTAGTTTGTTTTTAATCCTTGAAATACGTTAGGTTTATGCTTACATTTTTTATCTTTAGAAACATCTTCTGTTGGCTCGTCTTCACCAGCGGTCAGCTGTTTTGCAGTCACATTTTGAATGTCTTCTCTTGCCATTCGAGCATCCAACATCATCTGAAGAAGATCAGCTCTTCGAAGCTAGAACAATAGGGAATCCTCAATAGCCGCGGTACTTGAGATTATTTTAGGCAGATTTAGAATAAATTAATCTATGAGACCTTTGTTTCCCCTTTTTATTTGCTATATTTTTGTTGCGCCAGGAATACCAAGCGTGGAACGCACGTATACCCTATTCAATTTTACTACTTATCAAGATCTCTACCAGCATACCTTCAAATTGAAATTATTTTAAGCAGGATTAGAATAATTAATCTGTAAGACGTTGGGTGTGATCAATACATCAATAAAGGGGATTTGACTTCCTGATTCCAAAATTGTAATTAAATCTCAAATCGGTTAAGAAATGACGGAGCTATGGGCTAAAAGATTGCACTGAAAAAAACACAATTCAGAGCCGCTCAGCCGCGGCAAAAAATGTGAGAAGAAACCAAAGTTTTACACGTGCTTTGCATGAAATTAACCAATAAAACCATTTGCCAGTAGAATTTCAATGTTATGCAAAGGAGTATAATTGACTTTTGAAACAAAATAAAATCAGAGTTTGCCTAACTTATATTCCTGTAAACATCGTAAATAATTTTAAGTTTCAAAAATTTCCAAACAGACTTTGCGAATTAATTATAATTTATTTAACACTGCAAGACTATTTTTTACACTAAAATGCATAAGACATATGTAAATATCAAACAACAGTATTTTATCGAATATATTCATGATGTTAGAAAAGCACGAAGAAATCTTGATAGAAATGAATAAAACCCCTATAACCTGAAAGAAGAAAGGTTAGAGGGTTTTTATTCATTTTTATCGAATAATTTTTATATATTTAGTTTTCAGTGTTGTTTGATAACTGATATTTTCAAGATTAAATCACACTCAAGCTTATATTGAACAAGCATGCCCTTATAATTAGTGTGTCAGTCTGCGGATCGAAACGACCAACGCTCCTTATTTTCAGATTCGAGCCCTTTACAGAACTGAATAATTAGAGATAGCTATATCCGAACCATAGGAGTCTCTAACTTTCCGTTTAACCCACGTGAAACTAAGGCGTCGTTCAGGTTGAAGATTATTGTATCAATTCTCAGATCTATTTAATGAAAGTCCAGTTTCATCACCTGCACTGGATTATGGTTGATGAGAAACATTGTCCTTTAAATGAAATTACTCCAAATACCACTTCAGAATTAGAATTCTTTATAGCGATTTCACGAGATAATTTGAATTAAACTCTTTCCGAAAACTGAGTAAAAGTAACGGTTATTATTGATATGATGAAAGACAGAAAAGTTCTTACCGCTGGATTTTTTCGTCTCTCTTCTATCACTTTCGTAACTCCTTCGATTAAGGATCTTCCTGGAGTTGAGAATATTTGATGCCATATGACATCCACCAGTTTTCGAATTGGATAAAGGATGTTGTAAAGCTCAGGAAAGCACACTGAAATCAAGTCGTTTTTCAGTAAATCTCTCTACAAATTTAAATGAAAAATTATTTTCATTCAAGTATTAAATAATTCGACTTATGCTCTCGTCAACTGTATTGTATCTTCATTTAGAAGTAGTTTCGTTTTGTTCAGAACTTCAAACTTTGACAATTTATACCACTCGAAGCCTTAAGACCAAGTTTCATTCTTACAAGATCCTCATTCCCGCTTAAAATCCAATCTTGTTTGCATATTACTCTTGGGAAAAAAATCTACGAAATAAGAATTATGGGATCTTTAGTATTTCTTAATATGTACTATACTAGTGGAAAATCAAAGATATTGGAAAATTCTGACCTATTTTCAGTTCAGATCAAAATTAGAGATTACGAAGTAACCTGCGAAATATTCAGTTTCAGAAATTATATTTTATTTATTGATTTTGAAATCTTCTCTCGTCTAATTAGCAGTATGAGTATTTTATATTATCTTTCGAAGAGATTGATCGTAAGAATAAAGTATGCTAACTTTCGTTAAATAGAAATGATGAGATACATACATAGCCAAACACACTTTTATCTAAAAAAAAAACTTAAAGAAATATTAAATAATTTATAGCATTTTAAAGTAAAGAGACAAAATCAAAATATATCAGTCAAGTTTACAATACATTTTCAGTGTTATATAATTTATAATAATAAAATAGAGTCTCTGTGTGTGTGTGACCGCCATAGCTCCAAGCGGAAAGAACCTAGAGACCTGAAACTTTTTACGCTTACTAGGGGGAATTCTGAGGTTATGCACATAGGTATTATTTTTTTAGATTCGACTCAAAAGATGTTGGCCAATTTGTGGCCCTATACCCTGAAGGTCAATAGAAAAGTATCATATTTGTTTCGCAATTCTCACTTACTGAATAAACAATATGTGGAGATTTTCTGCCAAATACTCTTTTTCAACATAAACATCTGAGAATACTGGAGAATTCGGTGAATGAAAATAATTCAAATAAAAATCACAGATAGGAAAAGCGAATCTGAGATTCTGAGTTAAAATTATTTGCTTCTAAAAAGTGCTGAACTGAATTAAGTTCGGAAAATGGCAACAGACAAATCAATTAAAGAATTGGCGCATTGGGGTAGCTATAGAAATAATTAAGATAATAGTGACGCTTGACTGGTACTTTGAGGCCTCTGTGAATCATGAGAGGACCTTAGAATCTCGCAGCGGAGCGTGAGTATCTTGTGTTAGTCTATATATATATGTGTGTATGTGTATTAACATCACGAACATTGGTATAGACCTAATAGCAATTGGTCTGGGTACCTCGACTGGAGCTTTGGATTTTTGATTGTTGATTTCAAAAAACAACATTTCTGTGCTATGCAAACTAGAAAAGCTTTTTAACTGAACATAAGACACACGTGGAGTTCTTTATACTGATTTTGTGTTACATACTGACGTCACACATTGAGGGTGTACTGCAGTAAAGCCACATTTTCTAATCTTTATGTGTATAATACTACACCATTTTGTTTCTTGGATATATTTAACAGTTAAAAACAAATAACAAAAATAAATGACTAGTAAATAAAAAAGAATGAATGCACATTTTCCTATGAAATAAAACCTAACTCAAACGTACTTAACAAAAAGATGAGAAACTCGGAAGTCTGAATGTTGAAAATAGCTCTGCAATTGGTTAGAAAGGGATCTTCTGGATTCTGCTGGACATTTGTCTGGATTCCAAAAGCGGTTTGACCAATGACATCAGTTGTCAATTCTTGGTACATCTCGTATATATCGAAGTCCTCTTCTGTTTGGGCTTTTTCGTCAATTTTTTCCATAAGGATCCCAATAGCTTTCTGCATGATTGGTGTCATCTGAAATGCAAATCATCTTATTGCAGACTGTGTAATTAAATACAATATAATAAATCTAAAAATAAGTGTATAGAATTATCATTAGTATATTAACTATTGATAAATATCATAATTATAAATTTCATATATCACAATGCAGAAATAATAATTTATAATTATCTATAAAGTTACGATTTTTCGTATTACTTTTATTTATTTGTGTTCTGAATGGCTTAAAGCACACTTTAATTCTATTGTGTCTAACGCAAATCTTATGCAGTGCTAATGGGTTTACGGCCAAAAACACTGTTTCAAGTGAAGTTGCGTAACTGACGAATTAGCATAAAAATAGTTATATAACAGACAGTGCCTCTCTTTGAATAACAAATAGGTTTTGTTTGTAATTAATAAACATCTTGGTAAGCCTTTAATATTACTAAATCTTATAGATTGCACATAATTTGACATATAGGTTTATATGTTAATGAGCTATTTATTTTTTATTATACTATGTTTTGTTATTTCACAGATTCTTTAGGCACTGACACATACTCTATAAAATTTATATTTATCATTTATAATAGTAATTGGGTTAAATAATTATCTTAATTATTATCTTAATATTTTTATACAGGAGATTTAATAATAATTATTATTCTGCTAGGTAAAGCTATATGTAAATATTGTTACTGATTTAAATGTTGTTTAGCAATGTTATTTAAACATTATCACAGAATAAGAATAATTAACAAGTTTTTGTGAACTATCGTTCAGTTTGAAGTCAATTTTGTTTGTTCGTTGTTAAACAAACTTATACAATGGATTATCCGTGCTGTGCCCAACACGAGTATTGAAACCCTGTTTTTAGCATTATAATCAACGTCCAGTTGAATATGAATGATAAAATAATATACCAACACCATGTGAGTTTTGCGCTGTTTCTAAGAAATGAAATGAAAATAAAATATTCGTAAGAAAACTGCAAATCTAGAATGGGATAATTAAAACAGTATTTGTCTTTCTTTATACCTATCAATACGTGCAGATAAACAGACGCATAAACAGGACATACAGACGGATGAATATACAGAAAAAATAGATATACTTAATATTTTCTATATGAATGGCATCTTAGTATTCGGTGATGAGATTTCTACTAATCGCAAAAGCAGTGTTTAAATCTAGTAAACTTGATAATACAGTTTTATATAAAAGTTTCTGACGATAGTTGCAGTTGTCAGACAATATCGAACGGATATTTAAATTGTAGACTAACAACAATACTTACTTGTCTCATCTTACTGGAACTGAATGTTGGGGTGAGGAGACTGCGAACTTCCTTCCAGTGCTCTCCCCGTTGTAAAGTCAATTGTGAGCTGAACTCGGTAGATGGCTGCGTACCTCCAGGGATGAACATCTATGGGGATAAGCAAGATATTATACGTTTAGGCAGTGGATAAGATACGATTATCATAAAGATAGTTTAGTGTTAGAAAAACGTGTACCGTAAGATGTTTGTTTGTTTTGAATTTCGTGCAAAGCTACACGAGGGCTATCTGCTCTAGCCGTCCCTAATTTAGCAGTGCAAGACTAGAGGGAAGCCAGCTAGTCATCACCACCCACCGCCAACTCTTGGGCTACTCTTTTACCAATAAATAGTGGGATTGACCGTCACATTATAAATCCCCCACGGCTGAAAGGACGAGCATGTTTGGTGTGACGGGGATTCGAACCCGCGACCCTCAGATTGCGAGTCGAGCGCCGTAACCACCTGGCCATGCCGGGCCACTGTAAGATGTTACGAGGCTTACCCTACTTTCGTTGCTAACAATCTAAAAACTATATATATATCTATCAACATTATTTGTATTTCAACAATAATGTTTTTAAGAAAGAAGTAATACATAATCACTGTGGTTATTAGTTTATATCTGCACATAATTTACTCATAGCTCTTGTTTTTTTATATGTAGGATCTTCTTTCAATTTTGAAGCGCTATAAACTGATATGTCGAGTGTGTTGATAAAACAGTAATTTGTATCAAAGAATGTTGGGTATTGTATGAACACACTCGATCTGATAGCACCTTATGCACCAGCTCATTAGCACTGGGTATAACAGATACTTTCAGCCTCAGATTCTCAGACATACAAATTTCAGTCAAAGATTTTCAAAATTTGGAACTGGTGATCAATGGAAAGGCAACCGATCACATAACTTGCCCTAATTTTCAACTACTGATCAATGGAAAGGCAATCGATTACATAACTTTCCCTAATTTTCAACTGCTGATCAATGGAAAGGTAACCGATCGAACTTTCACGTCGTACAAAGGGATCAACGACGTTATTACATAATTCATGGGTTAGCTATACCACATAATATTGCAAATAACATAGTCAAATGAGAGAACTCCAACCCATACCAACTTGTACAAGTATTTGTGCCACACCTTGAGATGGCAGAACACCTGCATAGAAATTCTGAAAAAAATGCATGACTATATGTTGCTGCAGGTATATTTGAAACTAGTTATGGAAAGAAAAATTGTTAGTTATTTCAGTCCTATTATTTAATTATTGATTAAAATATGTATTTATTCCAAACATTTTAGAATAAAGGTCTAATTTGAATATATTGCTTCTTAATGTGGGTTATCTACTTTTGAACATTCTAGTAATTTAAACAGTTTTGTGTGACATTGTTTTACTAATTAAACTTATCATTTTCAAATTACTTTATAGGTGGCGCTTTCTTACCGGTCTACCCGTAAACTTTTGGAAATCTTTAATTTGTATTTGTTTCAAGAGGTCCAAATCCGCTACGATAGTGATCGGTAAACGTCCATAATAGAATCTAGAAAACAAATCATTTTCAGAAAATTAAACACACACACTTTTTAACCGATTGTGTAAAAACGTATGATGATACTTTTCTAAAATATATTTATGTAAAACATGATCTTATTGGTCAATTATTAAAGATAAATCTGACAAGCAGATAGAAAAGGATACTAGTGTAATAAATAGGATTTTATCTATCTAGGATAATCTAATGCTAAGTATGATGAAAATGGTTGCTTTGTTAATTTAATAATTAAAAAATATTTTCTTTTACCTTACATTTACTTCAATCTGTAAGAATGTTCGAACACCTCATCACTATATCAATTAATTTAATGTCTTAAAACACACTAGGACTAAAATATCTAAATCCCTCTTCGTACTTGTTAGTTTGCAAAAAAAGAAGCAATAGTTTTCAATCGAGAGATAAAAGTAAAGCCATATTTAATATTTCTATTTGCTGTATTCTAACAGCAGCTGAGCGAAGTTTGGTGAAAAGTTTAAACTAGCGTTCAACAGGTAGCGCTATGTGTAAGATATATCAAAATTCAGTTTATTATTTAAACAAGGTATATTGTTACTTCCTACAAACTGTGATCGAAACTTACCCACAAATTTTTCCATATTTTTTTATCCATTCTTCTTGACACTTAATAGCACCCTTTAAGAACAGAACAAAACACTAATTATTTATTTCTCCTGAGAATAAAATCAAATCTTAGCCAACACTGTAATCTATCAAAACTACCGTTGATCGCTTTTGCAATTCACTTTTGGGAATTACTTAAGCCTCGTTCCAACACTAGGCCTATAACGATGAAAATATTTCAAGCTTATTGACTACTTCTATTGACCTTCATCAACAAGATACTGACAGTAGATATTAAAGAATAAATTTTAGTGTTAAACATAGTCGGTTAATCCATGTTATTTATGGACTTTGATTATATACCAAGAACAATTGAGAGCAAGCCGTATGTTGATATAAAGTATGATTAGTCTACGCATGCCTCACTTCTATATGCAATTTTATTCGTTTCGATCTGTTATTTTTGCAGTAGTTTGTTCGTAGTTCTTTGTTTTTATCTGTAATTCCAGCAGCACCTTGTGCAAAGTTGTTTGGTTTGTTATTGAAGCAGTAGTTTGTGCATATTTGTTTGATATTTTGTTGCGCAGTAGTTTGTGCAAAGTTTTTGGTCTGTTGTTGCAGCGTCAGCTTGTGCACAGTTTTTTATTTGTTGTTCTTTGTGCAGCTTTGTTTGTTCTGATTTTTTATTGCAACCATAGCTTGTGCAGAGTTGCTTGTTTGTATATGTTATTGTAGTTGTTGTTTGTGCAAAGTTTTTGTCTTGATCTGTAAACAGGGGCTCAAAATGAATTTAATTTAACCTTATTCTTCATCATGCCTTCGTTGTATTCATTCTCATTTGGGATCTCTCTTACAATGTTTTACATATTTTACTTCGTTTTCTACAAATTACGTTCCCAAGATGCTTCAGCCAAAATGTCAGTTCTGTAGCTCTTTTCTATTGGGTGAAAAATTCATAAAACAATTGTATCTGTCTCGTATTAAAACTAAACCAAAGTTTTAGATCTTGTAGCTTAAAATTCTTATCTTTCAAACATTGTAAATTAGTTGAAGTTCCACGAACCTTGATTTCAAAGGTTTTAATAGGTTGTGGATTCTGTGAGACGCTATAGCTAAGCTGTAGTAGTACTCTGATAATACAATTATATCAAAGTTAGGAATTTGTTTACACTTTAAAATGTTTTTGTTTTAGAATTTCCTCAACTTCTTTTTGAAAATATTAGAGTTCAAATAAATTTCTCAATACTTTTGTTTGAAACTCTCTCAGGTTTCCAAAGAAAAAGCTTGGTTTTGGTCCTGGGATGCCAAGGTCTTGAAAGAAAGATAACTTCTTCTGTCGCCACCTGGAACGAAACAAGTCAGAACCGATAACTTATTCTTCCTAGTTCAATACAAAATAAACCAAACAAATACTACAAATATTCACGTTTGAAATAATCCATTGAAAGGTTAAATCTAGAGATAAATAATTGGGCCACATATTTAACACTTTCACGTTAGTGGGAGTTACAGCGTAGAGAATGTAAACATCTTAAAAGACCGTATCTCAGATGGGGGCCTTTTGGAAGCAGAGCTTCCAAATTGAAGATCTACAGTCATCCTTCACAATCCTCTTGGTCAAGCCCCTGATAATATGGTATCCAGTTCAGAACTAAACATGTCGTACTACAAATAATGATGTGCATTTTAAAACAATAAGTTAAAGAGATAATCGATAAATACCAATAGAGTGCTCACTGTATAAATGACTCTTTTCAGAAACCTTCAGTATGCGTAACACCTTACTATAAGAAGAAGAAAAGGGGAGTGTTTTTTGTTTGTTTTTTCATAAAACTGAAATCTGTTTAAAAACACAAACTCTTTTATAAAACACAATAATAACATTTTGAATTTCTAATACCATAATAAATTGCATCACACACCTTGGGACGTGGATGTGTTATAAGATTAATGGTTAAATCCTGTTTGATTAGAATATTCCAGGTGTTCCTAGTTGTTGTTGTTCACTAACTGCCTTTCCTTTGTTTGTTTGTTATGGATTTCGCGCAAAGCTACACGAGGACTATCTG